CAAACTCAGTCATAACGAATATTTTAGGCTAGAAATCAGGGATCGAGGGGGTGACAATAAAGTACCTTTTCTAGTTCTGCAGAAACAGTTAGACAGAGAAACCACTGAAAGACACAATCTTCGTGTCACAGCTATTGACGGAGGAAAACCGGCAAAATCTGGTGTTATTGATATAAATGTGGACGTTCTGGATGTTAACGACAACTCCCCAGTATTTACGAAAGATGATTATTCTGTTACACTGAGAGAAAACGTCCCCGCTGGCACAGTGGTGATTGAAGTAAATGCATCTGATTCGGACCAGGGTTCAAACGGGGAGATTATATATTCATTTGGTGACGAAGTTGATTCAAAATTAATGGAACTCTTTAATATCGATCCAAACACAGGTGAGATTACTGTAACAGGTTTAATTGATTTTGAAAAAAGCAAAAATTATGAAATTGACATAAAAGCATCGGATAAGGGGAATGCCCCACTGACAACGGCTAAAAGTGTATTGATAAATGTTGTTGATGTTAATGATAATGCTCCCAAGATTGATGTGACGTCGTTTTCCAGCTCAATCAAAGAAGACTCAAAAATAGGAACTACAGTAGCTCTTATTAGTGTCAGCGACCTCGACTCAGGGATAAATGGGAAAATAATTTGTACAATCCAAGAAGACGTGCCGTTCTCTTTATCACCATCGCTACAGGAAAATATGTTTGCTGTTGTGACTAAAGCACATCTGGACAGAGAAGCTATTTCACAATATGACGTTACAATTACTGCTAAAGACGCAGGCAGTCCTCCATTCCTAACCAAAAAGACAATAGGCATCGTTATATCAGATGTTAATGACAACAGCCCAGGGTTTTCATCAAGCCCTTATACATTTTATATATGTGAAAATAACAGCCAAGGGGCTTCAGTGTTTTCAGTACAGGCATCTGATCGTGATGAAGGAGACAATGCTGTCGTTTCATATCATATTATGAGAGGTGTGGCTGGAGATGAGGTGTCTTCGTTTTTAAATATTAACTCAGAAAATGGAGACATTGTAGCACTGAAAAGTTTTGACTATGAGATCCTGAAAACTTTCCAGTTCCACGTGGTGGCGTCAGATTCAGGAAGTCCGTCACTGAGCAGCAACGTCACAGTGAACGTGTTCATTCTGGATCAGAACGACAATCCTCCAGTCATTCTGTATCCACTCAGCTCTAATGGTTCTGCTGAAGGTGTGGAGGAGATTCCCCGCAATGTGGACGCAGGACACTTGGTGACTAAAGTCAGAGCCTATGATCCTGATATAGGATATAACGGCTGGTTACTGTTTTCACTGCAGGAAGTTTCTGACCACAGTCTGTTTAATTTGGACCGATATACAGGACAGATCAAAACACTTCGTCCATTCACAGAGACAGACGAGGCTGAGCATAAACTGGTCATACTGGTGAAAGACAATGGGAACGTTTCACTGTCAGCAACAGCTACTGTGATTGTCAAAGTTGTGGAGCCCAAAGAAGCTTTTGCAGCTTCTGATGTGAAAAGTTCAACCAAAGCAGATGAGGACAATGATGTGACTTTTTACCTGATGATAACTTTGGCCTCAGTTTCTGCTCTTTTTCTCATCAGTATCATTGTGCTGATTGCAATGCAGTGCTCCAAGTCCACAGACTATACTTCTAAATATCTACCAGAGCCAAACTATGATGGAACATTGTGTCACAGCATCCAGTACAGATCTGGAGACAAACGGTACATGTTAGTTGGACCCAGGATGAGTATTGGATCTACTATAGTCCCAGGAAGTCATGCAAATACTCTGGTGCTTCCTGATAGAAGAAAGACATCTGAGGAGGTAAGAAGTTTTTTGTGAAACTCTGCTTGTTTCTTCTGGCAAGGTCTTTAACTTGTTTATGCATATGCAACTGGATGTTTATTTTACCAAGCAAATACACTAGTGCTGCCATTGTTCATTGAGAATTCCATACTAATTGCAATGTTTTGAGGAGCTCATTTCCAAAAACAACTAGTTTGCTCTGCTCATTTAGTGAGTTAAGTTTTATTCGGCAAAGATCGATCGCCAGTGTTCCTGTTTATTGTGACAATATTCATATTCTAGATGTGACAGAGGACTGGAGATTTTCACTGATGTTTACAGTTTTTTAGATTTTAATCCATTTATAGTTCGTTTAAATTTGATTGTATTCGCTGTCCGTGGTGCTGTATAAAAAAAATACTCTAACCAATATATAAGGAATGGTAAACGTTGCTGTGGATCACATACATAATTGTCTTGTCAAAACATTGAATTCATAAATTCACTCAGTGTTTGGTAAAATTAATTTTTGGGCGTGGCCAAGTGTCGTTATGTGTCCAACCACTGTACCGAGTTAGATAAATATGAATCTCTCAGCGCTGTAGTTAACAATCTGATCGCATGGTGTCACTGTGTAAAGAGAATTGCCAGCTTTGGTCGTCACTGTTTTTAGGTCCACCTCTTTATTCATTCGCCAGTACGAAGCCGAGAGGAGTCTGCTTTCTACTTTAGCTGAGAAAAGACACGAAGATTTGTTTTTAGGACAGTACACTGTAGGCGAATGTTTGTATTTCTGAATGTCCTGGTTCATTATTTCGTATACGAATCGCGCCATTGATCCTGTGAGGGAACTGTGATTATCTGATTCTGAATATGGAACAAAGAGCAAGGGCGGCGAGGAGGGTGAGAGGATGGTGGCTCGACGCTGTGTTGTCTGTGCTTTTGTGGAACTTGACATCGGCGCAATTGAGATACTCGATTTCTGAAGAGGTTAAGGAAGGGACGTTGGTTGGAAATATAGCAAAAGATCTTGGACTGGACAAGAGCACGCTGAGGGATAGAAAGTACCGCATTGTGTCCAGCAGCGCGGATCCTCTTTTTTACGTCAATCAAAACGACGGCCTCCTGTATGTGCACCGTAAGATTGACAGGGAGGAGATATGCGAGCGGACCAGCACGTGCGTGATCAATTTAAAAACGGTTTTGGAAAACCCCCTGGAAGTGCATTATGTTGGAGTGGACGTGCAGGATATTAATGATCATGAGCCAAGTTTCCCGGAGAAAGAAATTACTCTTGAGATATCCGAGTCTGTGTTACCTGGAGTACGTATTCCGCTGAAGGCATCTCGAGATCCAGACGCTGGTGTTTTTTCCATTCAGCAATATAAACTCAGCCAAAACGATTTCTTTCGTTTGGAGGTTAAGGATAAAGGAGAAGACGGTAAAATACCGATTTTAATCGTACAGAAATCTTTAGACAGAGAAACGGCGACAAGTCACTCCCTGGTTTTAACTGCACTGGATGGAGGAAAACCTCCGAAATTTGGCGAAATGAATATTAATGTAAAGGTTTTAGACGTAAATGACAACGTCCCTGCGTTCTCTCAAGAGACGTACTCCGTAATGCTTAACGAAAATGTCCCAGTAGGTACAACAATTATACGCGTGAATGCGACTGATTCTGATGAAGGGCCTAATGGAGTGGTTGTTTATTCATTCAGTAACAGTGTCAGCCACAGACTGCTCAATCTGTTTGATATAAATCCATCAACAGGTGAAATCACAGTCAAAGGTTCCATAGACTATGAGGACAAGAGTAGATATGAAATAGAAATACAGGCGTCAGACCGAGGCCTTGCGCCTCTGTCAACACAAAAGAGTGTAATTATTACCGTTACTGACGTGAATGATAACGCACCCGAGATTGAAGTCACATCGTTTTCAAGTTATGTCCCAGAAAACTCCAGACCTGGGTCTACAGTTGCCCTGATCAGTGTGAATGACTTGGACTCTGGTCTGAACGGAAAAGTAATTCTGTCCATATCTGAAGACGTTCCTTTTGTTCTATCACCATCTCAGCAGGACAAGATGTTTTCTCTAGTGACTAAATCCCCTTTGGACAGAGAGAAACAGCAACTGTATGATGTCATCATTGTTGCCAAGGATGCTGGTCATCCTCAGTTATCATCTGAGAAGACCATAAATGTCCGTGTGTCTGATGTGAATGACAACAGCCCAGAGTTTGCCCAGAGCCCCTATACTTTTTATGTTACTGAGGCCAATGAACCGGGTGTTTCCTTGTTTTCAGTTAAAGCATTTGATGCTGATGATAATGAGAATGCACAGATATCATATCATATTGTTAAAGACGGACATGGAGACAATAAAATGGCTTTGTTTTTTAACATTAACTCGGAAAATGGAGAAATTATTTCACTGAAAAGTTTTGATTTTGAAGTCATGAAAACTTTCCAGTTCCACGTTGTGGCGTCAGATTCAGGAAGTCCGTCACTGAGCAGCAACGTCACAGTGAACGTGTTCATTCTGGATCAGAACGACAATCCTCCAGTCATTCTGTATCCACTCAGCTCTAATGGTTCTGCTGAAGGTGTGGAGGAGATTCCCCGCAATGTGGACGCAGGACACTTGGTGACTAAAGTCAGAGCCTATGATCCTGATATAGGATATAACGGCTGGTTACTGTTTTCACTGCAGGAAGTTTCTGACCACAGTCTGTTTAATTTGGACCGATATACAGGACAGATCAAAACACTTCGTCCATTCACAGAGACAGACGAGGCTGAGCATAAACTGGTCATACTGGTGAAAGACAATGGGAACGTTTCACTGTCAGCAACAGCTACTGTGATTGTCAAAGTTGTGGAGCCCAAAGAAGCTTTTGCAGCTTCTGATGTGAAAAGTTCAACCAAAGCAGATGAGGACAATGATGTGACTTTTTACCTGATGATAACTTTGGCCTCAGTTTCTGCTCTTTTTCTCATCAGTATCATTGTGCTGATTGCAATGCAGTGCTCCAAGTCCACAGACTATACTTCTAAATATCTACCAGAGCCAAACTATGATGGAACATTGTGTCACAGCATCCAGTACAGATCTGGAGACAAACGGTACATGTTAGTTGGACCCAGGATGAGTATTGGATCTACTATAGTCCCAGGAAGTCATGCTAATACTCTGGTCCTCCCTGACAGGAGAGGAGTGTCTACAGAGGTAAGGAATAGTTCTTTGTTGTAAGGCAGTAGTTGTGGTTATTCACCTTCCAGAAGTAAGAGAATCTTGTCAAGTGCACATTACTTTTTTGCATGATGTTGGTTGATGTGTGGTTGCAATTAGTTGTCAAGCAGAAGAGATGGATTTTTTTGATTGGAAAATACAATGATGTTAGTGTTCTATTGAGAAATATCATCCGACTGCAAGAACTCTGATAGTTCGTTACAGTATAATTATTTTTGCCCTTGTTACTTTACTCACTACATCCCAACAGGTTGACGAGAACCTGTTTGCCCATAAGAGACCTTTTTTTTGGAATTAAATTAATAGTAGCATTTACCCTGTAATATATATGTTGATTTTATATACCATACACTGTTTAACAGATTTAGTTTTTCTTATATTAATATAATTATTAACTATTTGTGTTGATTATTGAATATATCAATATATCATGAATATAAGGATTTTTTGTTTGTTTGTTTTGTATTACCTCTCTGTATTAATATTTTAACTGTATTGTCTCATAATCTGCAGTAACTATTTATATCGCATGGCGACAGTAAAGTAGCATTTTGTGTCTGTAGATATTTCGTCATTACAGGGCCGCCCACCCCCGCGGTTTGCGTCACAAAAACCGACCGGACCGTAAGCACAGTGCACATCGGTGGTTTGGCGATGAAGGGTGTTTTTTAACCCTTGCTTTCGTGTTGTCTTTTCTAAACGCGTATTTATGAACAAGGAAAAACAGTTTTGGTTACACGATGGAACAAAGGGGACGACAGATGCGGCTACAGCTGTGGGGACGCGTCGTTTTTGTTGTGGTTCTGGTCTCGTTCTGGAGCGGAGCCGCAGCTCAGATCAGATATTCCATCTTCGAAGAAGTGAATGAAGGAAGTGTTGTTGGAAACGTTGCCAAAGATCTTGGAATTGATAGAGCTACACTGAGAAGTAGAGAATATCGCATCGTTGGTGGTTCAACGGATCCCGTTTTTCGCTTGAACAAGGACGACGGTATCCTGTACGTCAGCCGGAAGGTGGACAGGGAAGAGATCTGTGCACGGAGCGACTCGTGTGTTATCAATCTCAAAACAGTGCTGGAAAATCCGATGGAAATACATTACGTGACCGTAGAAGTGTTGGACGTAAACGACCACTCCCCTGTTTTCCCAGAGAAGGAGAAGCGGATTGAAATATTCGAATCGGCATTACCGGGTACTAGGTTTCAGCTTCAACCTGCACACGACCCAGACGGTGGTCAGTTTTCTGTCCAGCAATATAAACTGAGCCAGAATGATCACTTTCGTTTGGAAATCAAGCAAAGGGGCGAAGAGCGTAAAATTCCCTTTTTGGTTTTACAGAAGCAGTTGGACCGGGAGGCTAATAAAGAGCACAGGCTTCTCCTGTCTGCTATAGACGGTGGGAAGCCGGCGAGGTCTGGAACAATAGAAATCTTGATTGCGGTGCTTGATTTTAATGATAATTCACCCGTTTTCACGCAAGATACATATTCAGCTGTTATAAATGAAAACACAGCCCCCGGGACGTTGGTCATTCAGGTTAACGCCACAGACGCCGACGAGAGCGCGAACGGCGAGGTTGTTTATTCATTTGGAAAAGAGGTTGGTGAAAATGTGAAAAATGTCTTTGACATAAACTCGGAGACAGGGGAAATCAAAGTGATGGGTGTAATCGATTATGAAGTAAAGAAAAGCTATGAAATAGACATACAGGCGTCAGATAAAGGTCCGTTCTCTTTATCTACAGACAAAACTGTCATAATAAAAGTAGTCGATCTTAACGATAATCCTCCAGAGATCGAACTGACATCGTTTTCTAAATCTGTTCCAGAAGATTCCAGAATTGGAACAACAGTAGCTTTGATCAGCGTCAGTGATTTAGATTCAGGCCCAAATGGAAAAGTTTCCTGCTTCATACGCGAAGACGTCCCTTTTCTTATTTCTCCCTCCTTTCAAGATAACATGTTCTCCATAGTGACCAAGTCCCAACTAGACAGAGAAGAAAGGCCACATTACGAGCTCACGGTTGTTGCACAGGACACTGGTCAGCCGCCGCTGTCCTCTGAAAAGACGGTGACTGTAGTTGTTTCAGATGTGAACGATAACAAGCCACGGTTCTTACTCAGCCCGTACACATTTTATATCGTGGAAAATAATGAATTAAGTGCGCCGTTATTTTCAGTCAAAGCATCAGATCTGGATGACGGTGACAACGCGCACATTGCTTATCATATTCACAGAGACAGTAGTGGGGACGGTAAAGAATTGTTTCTGAACATTAACTCAGACAATGGAGACATTATGGCCCTGAAGAGTTTTGACTTTGAAACCTTGAAAACTTTCCAGTTCCACGTTGTGGCGTCAGATTCAGGAAGTCCGTCACTGAGCAGCAACGTCACAGTGAACGTGTTCATTCTGGATCAGAACGACAATCCTCCAGTCATTCTGTATCCACTCAGCTCTAATGGTTCTGCTGAAGGTGTGGAGGAGATTCCCCGCAATGTGGACGCAGGACACTTGGTGACTAAAGTCAGAGCCTATGATCCTGATATAGGATATAACGGCTGGTTACTGTTTTCACTGCAGGAAGTTTCTGACCACAGTCTGTTTAATTTGGACCGATATACAGGACAGATCAAAACACTTCGTCCATTCACAGAGACAGACGAGGCTGAGCATAAACTGGTCATACTGGTGAAAGACAATGGGAACGTTTCACTGTCAGCAACAGCTACTGTGATTGTCAAAGTTGTGGAGCCCAAAGAAGCTTTTGCAGCTTCTGATGTGAAAAGTTCAACCAAAGCAGATGAGGACAATGATGTGACTTTTTACCTGATGATAACTTTGGCCTCAGTTTCTGCTCTTTTTCTCATCAGTATCATTGTGCTGATTGCAATGCAGTGCTCCAAGTCCACAGACTATACTTCTAAATATCTACCAGAGCCAAACTATGATGGAACATTGTGTCACAGCATCCAGTACAGATCTGGAGACAAACGGTACATGTTAGTTGGACCCAGGATGAGTATTGGATCTACTATAGTCCCAGGAAGTCATGCAAATACTCTGGTGCTTCCTGACAGGAGGGGAATATCTGAGGAGGTAAGCTCCTTATTTTAATATTATCTACACTTCATCTTACAATTACATTGTCTCAATTCTAATCTCTTCTTCTCATCACCTCACCTGCAAAACAGCAAAAACGATAATGTATTTAATTGTCGTTTTTGCTGTTGTCTTTTATTTTCTTATTGGTTTCGGAGAGGGGGATCTGAGGAGGTAAGACACGTGTCACATTTTTAGTCAACCACCCATATTCTTACCATTACAAAAAATAAATATGCCAATGCAAAAAAAGTAGGATAAAACGAATAAAATTTGTTTTTAATTCAATCATAATGCTTAGTAACATTGTTTTATATGTTTTCATTTCTGCTGTTTTTAAAACAGACCACATCATAAACTTCACACTTAATAATAGTTTCTAATGTATCCCTGTTAACAGATATTCTACTGGAATATCAACACACCTACAAAGTGTCTTTACGATTCCCCAAAGTGTGTTTGGCTTTTAATCTAGCACTCAGTGTTTTGTTTCATAAAATGTAATGTGTGGATATTACAGTTGATGGCATTTGGTGGAACGACAACTAATCTCAGACCATCAGGGTGTTATTAGAATTAGGTGATATTGTAAGAATTATAGTAAGGGGTTCGTTTTTTTTAAAGAATGGATTCATGTAATATTTGCAGTCAAACAGTGTGTGCAGTGTGCAGTAAAAACCCGTAGGAAATCATCAGTGGCTGAAGATGTGTGTCAGTGATATTTGTCAGAATGGTTGCTGCAGAGAAAATGGAGAAGGATAAAGTATAATGTGGTTTAACGGTGATGCTGGGAAGGAATGATTGACATGTTGGGCAACACGGTAGAGATTGACTTGTCTAGTGCATCATTCAGTGAGATTAAAGAGTATATATGTATGTACTGATGAGGACATAAACAGTTTTGCATCCAAGTTTGTTACTTATCGCTCACGGGGTAAGCGCTGTCCATGGTGCTGAAAAGTGACAAAACATGATATTCCTTCACGTCCATGGTGCTGAAAAGTGACAAAACAACATGATTTTCCTTCATTTGTTCAAGCTTACTTTTAGCATGGCGTATGTCATCATTTTAACAACAGCAGTCCAATTACTATTACTGCCTGTTGTTGGCAGATATTAAAGTTATTATTCATATTTGTAAATAGTATTATATGCATGATTTACACATATTCAGTATTGAAATATTAATAACTCTTAACAATCGTTATATCATTTTTTTAATGTCATTGTGTTGTTGTTAACAATAATGACAATAATATAATGATAATAATTAGAAGGAAAATTTTACATGTGAAACGTTATTACATATTTTATTCCCCGTGTAAGTGCCAGAAAGACACAAAAACTTAAATCGGTTGTTTTTTAATTTTGTGTAAGGTTGCGACTGAGCCCTTGGTGTCACTACATAGGCAGTAATCTGCTGTATTTCGTAACATAAAAACCCCTCCCCTTATTGTTGCTTAGGTTTTGTCGGTACAGGCAGCGGAATATCTGCGGGTGCCATTCTGGATATTTAACTCCTTTTCTTACATGTGATACCTGATGGCGGATTTTTGTTCCATATTCTAGTAATTCTCAGCATTTGGTGGACTCGTATGTTTTTTCCCTTTTATAAATATGGCAGAAAATGGAGGTTGTGGACAATGGAGGATGGGACTGGTCGCTCTCCTTGTAGCAACGTCCATGCTCTGGGATGTTGGCATTGCACAGACAAGGTACTCCGTTTTCGAGGAGGTGAAAGAAGGAACTCGTGTTGGAAATATAGCGAAAGACTTAGGTCTGGATCTCGGTACTTTGAAAACCAGGGGGTTCCGGATTGTATCTGGGTCGAACGAGCCAATGTTTCAGGTTAATCAGAACGATGGCAACATGTACGTGAATAAGATAATCGACCGGGACGAAGTGTGTGAGCGCAGTAGTGCGTGTTTGATAAACCTGAAAGCCGTGCTTGAAGACCCACTAGAAATTTACTATGTTTCTGTGGAGATTCAAGACGTGAACGATCACAGTCCCACCTTTCCGGTGAATGAATCACGTCTGGAGATATTTGAGTCAGCGCTCCCGGGTGAACGCTTCCAGCTTCAAGCTGCGCAAGACCCAGACAGCGGAGTTTATTCTGTACAGCAGTATAAACTTAATCAGAATGATCATTTCCGTTTGGAGATAAAAGACCGCGGTACTGACGGTAAAATACCTATTTTGTACTTACAAAAATCCTTGGACAAAGAAACACAGAGACACCATAAACTAACACTCTCCGCCATAGACGGAGGGAAGCCGCCCCGCACAGGAACAACAGAACTGTGGGTGGAGGTTTTAGATGTTAATGACAATCTGCCTGTCTTTACAAAAGACACGTATACTGCCACGCTACCTGAAAACTCAGCCGTTGGTACGACTGTCATTCAGGTGAACGCTACTGATTTGGACGACGGGCTGAACGGCGAAGTCATTTACTCGTTTGGGAGAAATGTTGATGACAACGTGCGTAAACTTTTTGATATAGACGAAAGAAACGGGATAATAACCGTGAAGGGGATGGTGGACTATGAAGAAAGTCACAGATATGAAGTCGACATACAAGCCTCTGATAAGGGCACTGTCCCTTTAAGAGCAGACAAAAGCGTGATTATAAATGTAATTGACCTAAACGACAACATTCCTGAAATCGAGGTGACGTCATTTTCAAGCGCAATCCCAGAGGATTCCAAACCTGGCACGACAGTGGCACTGATTGGTGTCAGTGACTTGGACTCAGGTTTGAATGGAAAGGTCGTTTGTTTTATTCGTGAGACTGTTCCTTTTACTCTACAACCATCATTGCAGGACAATATGTACTCTCTTGTCACGAAATTGTCTCTGGACAGAGAGCAACAGACTCACTATGAAATCACAGTAGCTGCCAAAGATGGAGGTGGACCACCCTTATCATCACAAAAGACAATACGTGTTGTAGTTTCTGATGTAAATGACAACAAGCCAGAGTTTGTCCTGAGCCCCTATCACTTCTACGTCATGGAGAACAATGTCCGAGGAGCATCACTGTTTTCAGTCACGGCCTCTGATTGTGATGAAAATGACAATGCACTGATTTCTTATCATATTATGAGAGATGGTGGGGAAGATAAAAAGATGACTTCATTTCTAAACATCAACTCTGATAATGGAGACATATTGGCATTAAAAAGTTTTGATTTTGAAACACTCAAAACTTTCCAGTTCCACGTGGTGGCGTCAGATTCAGGAAGTCCGTCACTGAGCAGCAACGTCACAGTGAACGTGTTCATTCTGGATCAGAACGACAATCCTCCAGTCATTCTGTATCCACTCAGCTCTAATGGTTCTGCTGAAGGTGTGGAGGAGATTCCCCGCAATGTGGACGCAGGACACTTGGTGACTAAAGTCAGAGCCTATGATCCTGATATAGGATATAACGGCTGGTTACTGTTTTCACTGCAGGAAGTTTCTGACCACAGTCTGTTTAATTTGGACCGATATACAGGACAGATCAAAACACTTCGTCCATTCACAGAGACAGACGAGGCTGAGCATAAACTGGTCATACTGGTGAAAGACAATGGGAACGTTTCACTGTCAGCAACAGCTACTGTGATTGTCAAAGTTGTGGAGCCCAAAGAAGCTTTTGCAGCTTCTGATGTGAAAAGTTCAACCAAAGCAGATGAGGACAATGATGTGACTTTTTACCTGATGATAACTTTGGCCTCAGTTTCTGCTCTTTTTCTCATCAGTATCATTGTGCTGATTGCAATGCAGTGCTCCAAGTCCACAGACTATACTTCTAAATATCTACCAGAGCCAAACTATGATGGAACATTGTGTCACAGCATCCAGTACAGATCTGGAGACAAACGGTACATGTTAGTTGGACCCAGGATGAGTATTGGATCTACTATAGTCCCAGGAAGTCATGCAAATACTCTGATGCTTCCTGACAAGAGGAGGGCAACTGAGGAGGTAAGAGGAAACTTCTTTTCATCAGGGCAGCTCTTCAGTAGATAATTCACAATATGATGTAGATTAAATTTGTAAGTCAGTGATGCAAATGCCGAGTATACAAATCACTGCAATAAACAAACATCAAATATTTTTTTGAGGAACTTTGATGGACTGCATCTGCAGTGTTACTGCAGTTTGGTAGCAGTACATGTGTATGTATACTTTTGCTTTCCATGTTTTTATATTTATGCTTTTTGTTGTGTGACCAGTGTTGTGATTCCTATGGAGTGGTGCTGGGAGTTCATTGACTAGAGCATTAAGAGATGGAACTGTGTGTGTTTGAGTGTGTGTGTGTGTCCAAGGATGCAGCTGCCATGGTTTGAAACACAGTGTACTAACTGTGACATTTGGCGGTGACACCATGTTTTAAAGAGGGTGTTAATCAGGTACAAATGTGCTTCACGGCGTCTGGCCTGCGTTTCTTGTAGGACAAATGATCAGTGTTGCTAAGAAAAAATTCAAAAGGCACTTGTTTTTCACCAACAAAAAAATCTCTGTCTCGATGCTAGTTTTCAAGGCCGTGTCTTATAGCCCAGTGTGTTTCCCATAGCAACACGCTGTGAGATCCAACCATCAGAGTACACCGGTTTTTCACATGTAGTGTGGAGCTCTGAGCTATCTTAGCAACTGCAGCGGAAGAGGATGAAGCAGGGAGAGAGGCAAAGGAGAGAGAGAGAGAGCAGCAGAACGGGGGAGGGGAAGTGGGAATAATATGGTTCATCTGTATACATCTCATAGTATTAAAGAAAAAATCCTGTAGGTACAGGTTGATTGTGTCGACAAAACCACAGTAAATTAGAGAATCACAACAAAGACACTCAGTCCTGAAGGCAGAAGTATGGGGAACCTTAAATCACAGGTTCTACACTGAGGACTAATTTTCTCATCATGATTAACCTCACCTAAAAAGCCTTTGAAACAAATTAGAACTAAATAGTACGCTGTCACTGATCTCCCCCTTGTCTCACTGCACACTGTGTACAACACAAGACGTTACTGACGGCCAGGAGTCTGATGCCGTGTGGAAGGGAATTGATTCAGGCTGAAACGGCAGCTCAGCTTCTTACTAAAGTACACACTGAACACACAAGCATATCTGTTGTTACTATGTGTGCACACATAAATATTTAACGCGGGCAAGTTTCTGTTCCACCTTAAAAAAGTGGAAACGTTGGACATTTTATATATATATTCAGTGTGGCAATAGTGCTAAGCTGTTCCTGGATAGCAAATCCCTAAAAAATGTGTTGCTTTCTGGGGCCAGTCTAAGCCAGTTGTGTGTGTATATTGCTCTGCTTTTATGAAGAAACATAATTGTAGGGACTGTTTCACTGTGCATATGTGTTTTTTATTTTTTTTATACTAGTTTTGCAAATATCCATTTAACAGGGTCTGTAGAATCATAATAACTGAAGTGTGTGTGTTGTTCATTGCTTTATGTTTCTTGTCTTTGTTGGACTGTTGTGGCTGCCTGGTCAAGCGACCGTCTGCTTCACTGCCTGATCAATGCAGATGTGAGTGTGAGTCCGTGCTGGGAATTATTTGAATTATTCACAGTTCAGTGACCCACATGTTTTGTGAATCAGTGCATATCATCTTGGAAATCAGGACATTTTCCTCATTAATCGTATTCAATGTCGTAAGGATGAAGGATGGAAAAAATATACATACATAATAAAATATTTATAATAATGGAAAACATTTCCCTCACTTTCTCTTTAAAACATTATTATATAACTATATTTTTCAAGAATTTTTTTTTTCGTAAAATGTATTTAGTTTTATGTGTATGGTGCTATATCACAGCACATTTATCACAAGGCACTTTATTTAATGAAGCCCAGGAGCTACAGAGGGGGAAACTTCTAATAATTCAAATGACAACATCAGGTGTCATGACCAGCAGGTTCACTGGCACATTGACAGTAAAATCGTTACCAGAACTAAAAAAAAACCACTGTTCTACAAGCCTTCAAATTAACCATATTTTTTAAATTATTCATTAAAGATAGATTGCTTTATTTTCAGCTGATTTAACTCTATGGTTATGCTGGTGTTTGTTCATTATTACATTAGTATCATATCAGTTTTCCTTTATTTGGCTGTTTGGATATACAGTACAAACAGCTGTAGCTGGCAGTGCAGTAGGTGCCTGGAGACATGTCTCCTCCTGATGATGTATTTTTTTGTTCGACATTACAATAATTCTGTCGAAGACTGCTACTCTACCCTCAGTACTCGGTGTTCCACTCTGCTGCGTTTCAGACAGCTGTGCGCCTTTTCCTCCTCTGTTTTTTTTTTTTTTTTTACAGCTTTCCCGTCTGCCTCCTTCCTTATCCTCCATATTGAAAAGGTTTGCTCACCCCTCCCCCCACACTTGGCCTCCTTTTTTTTCTTTTTCATATTTATCCCCTTCAATTTCTCTTTCTTATACCAACATTTCCCGTCTGTATCACTCCCTCTCTTCTATTCTGTTAACTGTTGCCTTTTTTTAGTCGACTATCTATTATTTACCTACAAAATCTAACACCGTGCTTCCCTGTGCCCTGGGGCTGGGACTGTGGATGTGGATGAGGCATGCGCTGTTCTGTGTCAGTAGGGCACTCTCTCTCTCTCTCTCTCTCTCTCACCCTCTGTCACTGATCTAGCTTTGTCGGAAATGGAAGCACTGATACTGAGGCTAACAACATGATGCTTTTCTATCTGTCTGTCTATCTATCTGTTAGGATATTGGTAAAAATATTATTAATAATAATATTATTAATTATCTTCACTCTTTTTCGACTGCTAGTGTGTAACCCTATCCCACCCCCAAACCCTATTTTCAAACTTTCTTTAATGTTTTTTATTTCATAAATCCTCAGTTGTCTCAGGGATAAATAGACGCCAACAACTCTCCACATCCCCAGTTTCATAACATCCCAGTGGAGGAGTCTGTGAGTTTGTCTGAATGAATTGCACAGATAAAGCCCTCATGCACTGATAACCACTGTGTCACTTTGAATTATTTCTGACTGCGAGGGGTTTATCTCAGGGTGCTGCGTCATGCTGATGTGATCCCTTGATTCATGCGACTGAAATGACTGTGTATTCATTCACCTGTCGTAGTAGAAGTCTTGCAGAAAGTCTCGTGTAATGACGAAGTGACCTGAAGTAACGTAAGCAGCGTCTGTCAGGACGGACGTGTTTTTTCTGAATCAACAGGGATGAGAACAGATGTGGCTCTGAACTGTGTCTGTTTAGCATCAGTGCTCATATAGACACAACATCTGCTTCTGTGTTTAGATCAACTCTGTGTGGACCTGCAGGATTAGACTGACTGAGGGGTCAACACAAGGCTGTGTGTGAGCCGGTCGACCACCATGTTAACAGAGGAAAAAAAAAAAGATCAACTAAGAATGAGAACCCACCAAAGTCACTGTTGAGTATTTGAGGCAAAGTGTTGTGAGTCTTAGATTTTAAAACATAAATCAACTGTAAATCAACAACTTCCTCCGTCTGTTTACCCACAGGATGCAGCCTCAGTAAGAGGATTGACTTCTTACACACACTGCTGTGCTGAGAGGGTGGACAGTGAGACACACACTGACGTACCCTTTGTTTGTCTGGAACTGCATATGGTGTTTGTTTCTGAGCAGGAGTTGATGCAATCAAATGTGTACTGCAGTAGTAAATTGTTTATTTTGTAGTTTTCCTGGTCTCTCTGTAGCTACTGTGTGTACTTTACTTAACTGATGGGTCGTTCACTTCAACTTGTTTATGGTACAGCAAGTGTGTTCTTATTGATCTGGCCATATACAGTCATGTGCAATGCATTTACCATTAGATAAGCTGTAAACTCAGACCTTATATTTAATGATTTAATTCACCTTAACAAAAAAATACAATTCATTAGTTCAGCATCATTTGCACTGGATATTTTTTGTACCTGTATATGCTGAAAGTAATATTTTCCAAGTGTGTACTCCATTCTGACTGTAGGTTTTGTTTTAAAGTAATATTTTCCAAGTGTGTACTCCTGCTGTGCAACAAGTATCATTCTGACTGTAGGTTTTGTTTCTCTATGTAATAAGTTTAAACTGTTATTTTGCTCTTTCTCGAAGGTTTAGTATTAATATTGCAGTTTTACTGTACACAGAGCAAATGTACTTATAGTATTACCTGTGTATGGTATCCTTTTCCCCAGACATAGTCACTTTAGTATAAGCATTTTGTGTTGTAAATGCTAACTCAGAGATTACACGACATCGATGCCATTCAACCATTCAGTCACATTCTCGTATTGTCAGGAGCGACTTGGTGTCCTCGTGCACAGGCAGAGACACCAGTGTTGGAGGCAGGATAGCTATGAAGTGTAATATTAGGTTAGCACTCTCTCACACACTACAGTAATCGTATCAGTAGTGCCGATACACTGGCGGCAAACAAGTCGGCCTCACATTCTCTGTGCTTGAGGAAGTGATGTTTTGAAAAGAGTGAGATTAAGAGTAAAAATAATGACAGACTTGTCAGATGATTTGAAGGGGTTTAGGATGAGAATAGGCAGTATAATAACAAATAAATATAATGGGGGAAATTAACTTCAATTAAAATAAATAAGATTAATAATAATAAGGATTTGATAGGGATGGGAGAATGAAAAAAGGAAATAGGAACAGGAAATAAATGGATAGAAATGAAAATAGGTTTAGGAAAAGAATAAGAATCGGATTAGGATAAAACTTTATCGATGCTATAAAATTGACTGAATAATAAAATAAAAAAACAAAACAAAAACAAAATTAAATCATGGTCAATTTGTATTAATTCATTAATAAACATCAGTATAAACACCTAAGAACCAGTATTCATAATTTATTCTCCTTCATTTTCTACCATCTAAGGTACAGACAAACAATAAAAATAGAAAAAAAAAATTGGCATGTACTGTGAAGATGGCTGTCTTCACACACACCAACCGAGTGACTCATATCGAACTTTCTCCTCCCACTGACTGCCTCACTCCCTCTGCTTCTTCCCCCCTGCCTTTGTTCTCCTTATCACTGCCCTGCTTCTCTACAGCGCTGGATATTTTTCACTCATCTTTCACTCGTCTCTTGTGCTTCGATTGTTTCTCAAAGCCTTCATGAATTATCATACCTTTCCTCTGTCATTCTCTTAGAAATTGTGCTTTTTGTGAGCTCTCACTTGTTTCTCCATGCTGCAGCAAACTTAAAGAAAATGGCTGACTTTGTAAAAGGCTGGCTTCCCTCCCTGTGTTATTCTCATGAACCTCACTTTATTGTATCCTCCCTTTTGTTGTTGTGTTGTCCAACTTGGAATCAGGCATTGTTCAGATATGAGCAACCTGATGCTGCTTTTCTTCTTCTCTCCCTCCTCTAACATGCTACAGTGCTTTGTGTCCTACCACACAATAGCTGTGGGTGAATGTAATGTCACAGCACTTTGATCTGACTCTGCACCTTTGATGATTTCAATGGGAGAAAGATTGGACCAAGACAGTTTTGTCTCTCGATATAACCCCTCATGTGAAAACAAACAGATGATGCCACAGTGGTTTGTGGTGAACTGTCTCTGTATCCTACATCCAGAGAGAAGGATTCACTTCAGGGAAGTAGTTGTTTCACAGCATGTATTTCTTGTCAATTAGTGTTTAATAAAACTGGGTCAGTTCTGCATTTAGACCTATTTTGTTACATTCATATTTATGGTTTGCATATGTGGGTTAGTAAATATTGTACTCACAGTTGTCATAGTTTTCAGGTAAATATAACTTGTTTTAATGCCTGTACATAAAACTGAGTGCATATTAATATAAATATAATAAAAATAACAATAGAAATCATGATAATAGCTAAGTGAAATTATTATTGTTTGTATTTTTTTTAATAATAATAATAGTATTCAATATAATTACTTTGTTCTTCATATTATTCTTCTTATTTATCTTATTATTATTATTAGTGGATGTAGTTGTACTGCTGTGGTGGTTGTTTTTTTTTATAGACACCATATTTTCCGAGTATGGATTCACTGAGGGTGTTTAAATAGTGTCACCACAAATCCTATTAAATCCATTATGAATTGCTGTAGCTGTGATTATAAAAATCCTTTTCTGGGTCATTCATATGAAATGACAACCACAAACACTGTGACCTACTTCAAATGCTTTTCTGTTCGTCTTGTGGTTTACAGACAGGCATGTAGGATCAGGACTGTGGTACAGAAGTTACTTCAAATTTTAATCTGAACATTGGAAATTAGGATACCCTAATCTCAGCATCCCATTACAGATAATTAATGCCAGATGTTCAGGAGTGTGATCTGCATTTGTCCTAAGGCTGTCTTCATATTACCGTCTCTTTATTTTACATCCCCAAACATAAAGCAGTGATGAAACTTACATATCAAACATCATAATTCAACAATTATGATAGAGAAGAAGAGCCAAATGGTTTTTTAACTAACATCTATCCATCACACCATATTTCTATCTTTGGAAAGGTTTACTTGTTGCATCATGTCCCTTCAAGTGTTTTTAATTAGACATTCCTGCAAAAGAGAAGTTTCGCAGTAGTACTACACTGAGTACTCCCAGCTGCCCTGGATTAAGGTTGTGTAATGTGTTGAAGTATAATTCTACTGCTGTGCTTTTCTAATGGGATTAGGTTAAATCATCTCAATGATGCCTTAAAAGTCAGCAGCCTATCAGTGGTGTGCCACTCTTCCTCTCAGTGAGACCCAGTTTGGTAGCAGGACTCCAGTTTTATGCATCAGTCAGCTGTTTGGACCGCTCTCACCGTATTTTCATTGAAGTGTGTCATAAATTTGCACATGTGCTTTTCTGGGACTCAGTATTCTAGTATTTTATAGTTGTTGTTTTTTTCACAGTCAGTGTATGGCTGCTTTCTGCTGCACCATGATACTCCATGTATGGCAATTTTCTTAAAGCTTTTTTTCACCATTTTACACTGACAGTGCTAAAAAGCAAACTACTGTTGTCAAAACACAGTGAAGCCAATCACCTCTGGGATGTGTTTGAAAGTTGATCAGGATTTAAAAAAAAAACACCAAATCTATCGCTTAATCCATCATTGTACAATATGCTTCAGGTGATGTATATGTGAAGTGCTAGTTGTTTGCCTTTCTCAAAAAGCATGTACTAGTAAGAAAAAAAAAAGACCAACCTCATAGGTCTTTTTCTGTATCTGGTTCTCTGTGGGCCAGAAATCTCCTCAATTATTCAGCTTTTCTCTTAAAGAAATGGGCCGCATCCTGCTGCAGAAGCCCTGCACCTGCAGCACATTTCACATGCAGTACAGCCAGCTGCATGACTAATAGGGAAGTATAAATAGACAGTACTCAGTACTACACGGACACATCATGGAACCTTTGCAAGGACAAGTGACAAAATCCACGAGATCTGGTGTGCAGTTGTTGTTCAGAAGTCTTTCACCCAGTGATCTCTTCCATTTTTACTGTTTATTGAAGCATCTCTGTGAAATTATCTCTTTAGATGAGATAGTGCTGGTACTTTATGAAACATTTACGCCTACTTTCCCATCTTTGACATTTCATTTCCGCAAGCATGAGAAGGAGTTTGGCAGACATCATGTGTATCTGCATCAAAGACACGATGTCTGTGAGAGAGAGAGGGAGAGTGTGTGTTAATCTATTATTACACTTCATAGATACTACTGTGCATGAGGAGAAACTGCTCTGAGAACAAAGGCGAGCTGGGAAGTGCTCTCTCTTGTGGCAAATAGAGAGAGAGAGGATTATTATTATTATTTTATTTATTTATTTTTTTGTGCAGTATGCGTCGTGAAGTAAAAAGCTGAAGTAAAAAAAATAGTCCTTTGCATTGAACCACTCGGTGTTGTTGTTGTTGACCAGTATGGTTTCTGAGATTTTGTGTCAGTATTGAACCACAGATACATGGACCAGCCCACATTTTCCACTCTATCTGATTTAAACCAAATGCAGGTCACGTCCTGTTCTCTCGGGAATCTTTTGACTTGTAAAATTGTAAAGACACATTTATTTATTCTTAATCCCAGAGAAAATGTTTGTTGAATGCCGTTTATTTGCGAAGGCTGTTATATTATAAAAGATGGAGAGTGGACTTGAAGCACGTGGTTCATTTCTAAAAGGCTATTTTAATTCTTTTCATCAAAACCCTCAACACGTTAAATACATGAATGTTGATTTGAAGTCATCTTCGTGTGTTGATTATTGAGAAACGAATTAGCACATGCGATGAGAAATGGTGAAGAAGGGTGTGTAGAATTTACATGCAGCGGAGGGGGTGATGAGGGCTGCATCCGCGTCACCATGGATACAGGAGGACAGAGAGTGAATCAATTCTGGGTGCTCCCTGTGAAACCAGAGATCTATCAGACACCGTCTTTGTCGCTAGGCACAGTTTTGAGCCAATCAGAGTGTGTCTTACAATCACACCGAGTTCATCTGACCAATCAGAGTTTGATCTTGGTTTGGCTGTTCGTCGAAGCGAATGGTACACAATGTTTCATTTTTGGGCACTTTTAATAAAACGGTCTGTAAACGTGAACCATAGCAGTGGTTAGAAAAAAAAAACAAAACCTGTTGGAGCAGCTTTTGTGACCGTGCTCTGTTCTGTGTCTATAATTCATGCAGATGCACAGATTGTCTTTGTTGGAGTGCCACACCCTGTATTTAAAACCCCGTCATCTCTTTTCCTTCGCTCACTTTCCCTGTCTTACACACACACACACACACACACACACACATACCGATACAGCTGCTGATGCGGATGATTCATACCCGATCCAACTAATAACCCCCTGTTTACATTGACTTTATGATGTGATTTAAATCTAAAAGAAACCCTGGCTGGAGATGAACTGTTAATTCAAACCACATTTGCACTGTATAAAAACTGTGTTCCTTTTATATACTGACTGTGGGTCAGATTAAATGACACATCCAAGTGTTTCCTGTTTCCCAGGAAGTGCTGGTGACACCTGTGAGTGAATCAGTCCAACTCCTCTCATGGACATCCTGTCTGTTGTTTTACGGCTGAGCTATAATGATGTGACTTTTGGGCGGCATGCCATTATTTCCCAAATCAGTGAACAACATGTAATTGTGCTTCTATCGCCTTGTGACTTTTGGGCGGCATGCCATTATTGTGCTTCTATCGCCCGGACATGTTCATATATATGTCGTGTCTTGCCGTCCTTCATATCCCCTTGCTGGATTTTATATCTCGCTCTGGTTCGTGTTTCCATGGCCCCTGTCCTACTTCTTTCAGATACTAGTGTAGGCAAGGACAAAAAAAGATTAATTCTCTGCATGACTAAGCTCTTCCCACATCTTTCCTTGTGTCCTTCCTCCTACTCTAACACCTTATAGCTTATTAGTGTAGGTACAGAGGACAGGCCATAGTTTTCAGTACATCCATACTGTTGTCATTGTTGTTTATAGCATCAACAGTCAGGTCAGGGCTGGAGAAGGCTTGGAATAAAATTTAAATCGTCATGTCACCATATCATAATCTTATGTGTTTATAATGGTTTGATTTTCACAAAGTCTCGAAAATTATTAATTATTTATCTTTAATTATTTTGTGCTTACATTGTTTCATGACCACAATATTTTTGTTAAACTATTTGTTATGTTGTGATTTTTTATTTATTTTGGAACCTATAGTATTGATGTATAAAGCTGATGTAAAGGACATTTTGTTCTTTTCCTCCGTATACACTGACGTTTAGAACACTGACTATAGCGTAGTTTTCTGTGTAAAAAAATATAACGGTGGTTCAGTACTATGTAGGGTAAAACGGGAAAAATGAGGAATAGGTTGCCACCTTGTGTCCAGATAAATTGTGCTCCACACAAAAAGAGTGCAGTGACGTCAATGCCGCGTCACATGTAGGACGCTGTGCGTTGCAGAAGTGAGGGGGTGACGGTCTCCTGAGGCTTAGCCCACGGAGCTGACAGCGTGTTGCACTTGGTTGATTGGAAAGGTCAGGCTTTCTGTGTCGCTGTGGAGGGAGGGAGGGGGGCAGAGGGGGCAGTAGGCACTAACCCTAATGTATAGTGTGTGTCAAAGTGAATACGCTGCTGCAGTATGATGCATATCACCAGTGTGTGGACAGACGATCTACAGCGATGGACAGCATTTGGAAAAAAAAAAAACGATAGCCAGAAAAGATAAAGATCCAACTGAAGTCGCATCAACTGGAATAATAATAATAGCAATAATAAAAAAAACAGTCTGTGCTCAGTGCGTGCGTGTTGCTATAGATACGAACGAGCTGCGGAGGAGAGGAGAGCTGTAGCAGAAGGTCTGGCCTATAGGAGGGCGTTCAGAGAACACCCTTCCCCCATCTCACTCACACACGGACACTATAGTACACACCCTTACAGTACGTACTCTCACATACGGGCCTACACACACACACAGACACACACAGACACACACACTCCTGATGACTAAAATTAAGAAAACAATAAAAACATAAGTATATCCTGGGTTTTATAATGTATTTAATAATGCATTGAATTGTCCTGAATCAGCTGCCATTTATGACCCCCCCCCCCCCACCGCCTCACCTCCTCCTCTCTCACTCACTGCTGTTGTTGCACCATTTCTCCTTCAACGTCATCACGTGATACGTGAACCACAGACATAATGAGTGTGCGAGCACATTTGCTCACTTCGTTAATTATTCAAAGCCCACAGTCAGCTAATATTGTTTATTTTGATTAACCATCCGTTTATAGATGATCAATTATTCAGTTCAAAAAAACAATTCTTGTTTCCTCAGGACATGGAGTTTTACCAGTGCGTAGTAAATGTCTGTAAATTACAATCTGGATTATTGCTCACATTAGGGTTGTGTTGATGAATATTACTTCATCAATAGTACCAGCACAATTGGACTTGTGTACTTTTACCAATTATTATCTCCAGTTTCTCCACTGGTGTCGATAGACCTTTAAACAGAGAGTTGCTCTTCTCTGCACCTTCTCTCCTGAACATTTTAGTTTCATCGAATGGTAGCATTTTCTATTGTCTTGGTACCAAATGATGAGATTTGCACAGCACATTGCCAAAATAACTCTTTAAAAAACAAAAAAAAACCCCTTGACTCCTCTCCCAGGCTGTGCAGAGTGTCATCATCCTAATGTCTCACTGATTCTCTGAGAAGCATAATCCAGGATAACGGTCTGAAAGTCACGCCACCAAAGGCACTGACCTACAAATGATGAATCAAATATGATTATGGGTCATATTGGTCTGATGAATCAGGTGTGATAAATCATGTAGGACTAATAGTTTTTATTGTAGTTGCCAATTAGCAGGGAATTCTTTAGGAAAGGGGTGGGGGCTATTGTTGATACAGTTTAGAGTTGATAAAATAACTTCAGCACCTCCTGTGTTGGTTAATAATGTTTCAAACCAAAATGAGTTTTCCACAGGATGGAAATATAGGACATGGGTTTCTGAATCCACAGATTAATCCTGGGATTATAAATGAGGCAATGGGCCTGAGTGTATTACACTAGACATATAGGAAAATTGATAAACTGTGCTGAAATGAACTATGGCAGACAGGGAGCCATGTGATGTGTTCTTCATGCAGGCATAAAATAGTGTATGACTGATAAATTATTTGGCCCCGAAATTGATATAGACAAAGTCAGAGACTATGTTGATTTGAATTTGGAACAATTCTAGTTTTTTAATAGAATCTGGCTTCACTGAAGTATCGCTTGACTTGTCACCACCTGTGAATGTATGTGACCATCCTATAGTGTTAAAAGTCAGAAATTATCTGAGAGTGATGGACTTTCGACAGGGAGAGAACAGAGGATAAATATTGAGAATAAAAGAGGACGCAAGTGGATACGAGGAGAATAATATAGGGAAAATCAAGAAAGAGACATTGGAAGAGCGAGGGGCAAAAGAAAAGAAAGGGAGAAGAGTTTTTTAGGCAGCAACATGAATACGTGTGCATGTGACCCTTTTCACCACTTGGCGTCACTGTTGATCCATCAGAGACAGCTCTACACTCTGAAACAACAACTGGACAAGTCCCTCCCGTTTTGAGGCGCGAGGGGCGCTTCCTCGGTCTTTGTTGTAAAGAGATGGGAGGGTGGAACAATCACATCATGTCCAAGTATACAAACCCTCACCTCGGCTGATTTTTCCCCCCTGCTGGCTTCAATTTTGTGCGTTCATTTTCACCTGGAAAAAGAAAAAAATGTCTTCCATTTGTAGGAGGAAATATCTGGGAATATGTCTCTGGTTTTTGCTTTTGAATTTTTATTGGGAAACTGTGTGTGGGCAGCTGTCGTATTCCGTGTCGGAGGAGTTAAAACCTGGAAGCTCTGTTGGAAATATTGCTAAAGACTTGAACCTTAATCCACAGGACTTGGAATACCGTAAGTTTCAGATCGTTACTGGATCCAAAAGGAAATTCTTCGAGGTAAACCTTAAGACTGGTGTCCTTTATGTCAGTGAGAGAATAGACAGGGAGGAGCTGTGTGCGGAGGAGCTCAAGTGTACACTCAGTGTAGAGGCTGTCATTAATAACCCGTTGAAGCTGTATCGTATTGACGTGGATATTTTAGATGTTAATGACAATGCCCCTTTGTTTACCACCGATCTGCAGCATTTGCATATTGCAGAGAGCACTTTGCCAGGAGTGAAATTCGCGTTATCTGAAGCAACGGATGCAGATGTGGGGAAAAACGCAGTCAGCACGTACAAGCTGAGCCAAAATGAGCATTTCTCGTTGGCAGTGCACAAATCAGGTGACGGTGTGTCTGCAGAGTTGGTGCTGCAAAAAGCCGTGGACCGAGAGAAGCAGCCTGTGGTCACGATGACACTGACGGCTGTAGACGGGGGGAGTCCTCCGAAATCTGGTACCTCAAAGATAATAATTCACGTTTTAGACAATAACGATAACCTCCCGATATTCAGCGAAGCTCTGTATAAAACCAAGCTATTAGAAAACAGCCCCATAGGCACGACGGTGATCTCAGTGAATGCCACGGATGCAGACGAAGGCCTGAACGGCGAAATTGTTTACTCGCTTAGAAGCAAAGATCAGGACCGTGTCCTTGATATATTTGAAATTGAAAGTCAAACCGGTGTCATTCATGTAAAAGACAACGTAGACTTCGAGGAAAGAAAGGCGTTCGAGATACGCGTGGAGGCCACCGACAAAGGACAGCCTCCAATGTCGGCTCATTGTAAAGTGCTGGTCGAAGTGGTGGACCTGAACGACAACGCGCCTGAAATCACAGTCACGTCGCTGTTAAACACTGTAAAAGAGGATACTAGTGTGGGTACAGCTGTCGCGCTCGTGTCAGTCGTGGATAAGGACGGCGGAAAAAACGGCGAGGTGAACGTCCACATTGAAAACGCGGCGCCGTTCAAGCTCGACACCAACTATAAAAATTATTACTCCTTAATAGTTGACGGGCCGCTGGATAGAGAGGCGGTTTCTATATACAACGTCACCATAGCTGCGAGAGACAAAGGAGAGCCAGCACTCTCCATCACCAGTGTGGTTTCCATCCGCGTATCGGATGTTAACGACAACGCACCGAAGTTTCCCGAGTCTTTCATTAATGTGTATGTGAATGAAAACAGTCCAGTGGGGAAGATGATGAAGTCGGTGACTGCCACTGATGCTGATATTGACCAGAACAGTCAGCTAACATATTCAATTTTGCCAAACAAAGATGACTTAATGCACCTGTCAACAATGGTAAACATCAACTCAGAGACGGGAGATGTAACCAGTCTGCAGGCGTTCAACTATGAGGAGTTAAAAACGTTTCAGTTTAAGGTCCAGGCCACAGACTCCGGTGTTCCTCCGCTCAGCAGCAACGTGACCGTAAATGTTTTTATTTTAGATCAAAACGACAACAAACCAGTGATTCTTGCGCCATATTCTGAGCACGGGTCAATTTACAGTGAGACCGTCCCTTATAATGTTGAAGCAGGACACATAGTGGCTAAAATCAGGGCTGTAGACGCAGACTCTGGATACAACGCACTTCTTTCTTATCACCTCACTGAGACCAAAGGAAACAACCTGTTTCGGATCGGAACCAGCACTGGAGAAATTAAGACTAAGAGGAGAATGAGTGACAATGACCTGAAAACCCATCCATTGGTTATAATGGTCTCTGACAGTGGAGAACCTTCTCTGACAGCTACTGTGTCTGTAGAGGTGGTGGTGGTTGAAAGCTCAGCTGACATCCAGACTCAGTTCAGACACGTGCCCATTAAGAAGGATAACTTCTCTGATCTAAACCTATATCTGCTAATTGCCATCGTGTCAGTGTCGGCCATCTTTCTACTGAGCCTCATTGTTTTGATCGTGTTTAAATGCCACCGGAAAGACAACACTTTCAACGGATACGGTGCTCCTATGATCACCACGCATCCCGACGGCAGCTGGTCTTACTCTAAAGCCACTCAGCAGTATGACGTGTGTTTCAGCTCAGACACGTTAAAGAGTGACGTAGTGGTTTTCCCTCCATTGTATCCGCAACTAGATGCGGAACTCATCAGTATAAACGGAGGAGAAACGTTTTCCGGGACTCAGACTTTGCCAAACAAAGAGAAGGTAAGAAATACTATATTAAGTCTCAACATCTTAGCTTAGCTTAGCTTTGTTTCTGAAAAGAAAAGAATAAAACACGACACTCTAAGTATATTTAACAATGAAATGCACGTGTATTGTGTTTAAGTTTGCAAAAATCTTTGTTAGTTTCCTGGTGCATCATAGTTGTTCTGATCCTCAGTTTTTGGATGCGTAGATTCGGTCGAAGGCGATGGCGCTGTCTATGGTGCTGAACATCAGTTTTTGAGGAGTGCTACTTTTACCTATTTGATATCTGGTTTCCCCTTCTTTAAATGGCAGTTTATGTTCATATGCAAATATTTAGTGCAAATAATTTAAGCTTTACCACGGATGGAGTTAAGTTTCATTGCCAAAGTACGACCTGTTGCTTAAGCAGTTTTGCTTTCAGTATATCCAGAGAAACAATTCCTTACAGCCATTCATAATTTGATTATAGAATCATATAATAATTTGTTAAAATAAATAGGTTGTTTGTGGCAATGGATTCAGCTTTGCAGTTGTACAGAGCAGTGTGTGGTAAATAGAGTGACATTTAAAAAATAACTCGATTAACATAAACTGAGCCGTCTCTTTTGCCTCATAGTATTTTAATTTAACTGCTAGAGCATATAAATGTTTCAGGAAGTAATGTTTTTCAGAGTTCTTCTGTATTAACAAAACCTAAATCACTACATTTTAATATTTGCTTTTCCTTTTCTTACTCAAATCTGACCGTGAGCTGTAGTTTATTGTTTTTACCACACGAGGGCAGTGTAGACCATGACATTTAATCTTCAGATTTCATGGGCACAAGACTCCTCCCAAACTAGGGATTATCATGATGTTTCGCTGGGCTTTGGGACAAAGAGATGCAGGGCGTGAGAGAAACGGACGATCCGTCGTATCCATTTGCCTTTTTAGGAATATTGGACTAACATTTATGGATTTTCCATGTTGGATATAATTATGGATCTCTCAAGCAGAAGCTCCCTTCCTCAGATTCACCTTGTGATCGGGCTGCTGACTTACTGCTTTGGAGCGGTGTGTGCGCAGCTCTCATATTCCATTTTGGAGGAGGTAAACCCGGGCACTTCTGTAGGTAATATCGCAAAAGACCTGAACCTGAATGTCCTGGAGTTAGAGACGCGTAGGTTTCAAATAGTAGATGGATCAAAAAGAAAGTATTTTGACGTGAATCTAAAAACAGGTTTTCTTTTTGTAAACGAAAGGATAGACCGAGAGGAGCTGTGTGTGAAGACGGCGAAATGCACCATCAATGTAGAGGCCGTGATTAACAACCCGCTGAGGCTGTACCGTTTAGCTATAAATGTTGTCGATATAAATGATAATGCACCACATTTTTCAGAAGACTCGCAGTCGCTCAATATTGCTGAAAGTACTTTACCTGGACTCAAATTCGGTTTAATCGAAGCACTAGATGTGGATGTTGGCAAGAATGACGTGAGTACATACAAGCTCAGCACCAATGAATATTTCACCCTGGAAATACACAAAGGAGTGGACAGTGTGTCCGCCGAGCTGGTCCTGCAAAAAGCTTTAGACCGCGAGCGCGATGCTGTTATAAAACTCACACTCACAGCAGTAGACGGTGGTAATCCACCAAAGTCTGGGACTTCACAGATGATCATAACCGTTTTGGACATCAATGACAACAATCCTATTTTCAGCCAATCTTTATACAAAGTTCAAATTCCTGAGAACCTGCCACGTGGGTCTAAAGTGATCACCCTGAACGCGACAGACGCAGACGAGGGTCTAAACGGTGCAGTCGAATACGCTCTGAGGAGAAAGGGTCAAGATCGTGTGTTAGATCTGTTTCAAATAGACAGCATCACAGGCGCGATTATGGTGAGAGGTGAAATAGACTACGAGGAAAATCCAGCGTTTGAAATACACGCACAGGCCAGTGATAAAGGGCAACCTCCAATGTCAGCACATTGCAAAGTGTTGGTGGAAGTGTTGGATCAGAACGATAATGCCCCAGAGATCAGCGTGACGTCACTATTAAACACTGTGAAGGAAGACGCTGAAGTAGGTACTGCTGTGGCCTTGGTATCAGTCCTGGATAAAGACGCAGGGAAAAATGGTGCTGTGAAAGTTGTGATTTCAAATAATGTTCCGTTTAAACTGGACACAAATTACAAGAATTATTATTCTTTGACAATTAATGGTCCGATTGACAGAGAAATGATGGCTCAATACAATGTAACTATTATGGCGACGGATGAAGGAACTCCTCCTCTCTCCAGCACCGCTGTAGTTACTGTCCAGGTTTCTGATGTCAACGATAATGCACCGATATTCTCTGAGCCTCTGATTAATGTTTATGTCAAAGAAAACAGTCCAGTTGGAGCCGTTATAAAGACTGTGACTGCAGCTGATGCAGACATCAGTCAAAATGCTCACGTTAGATATTCATTTTTACAAAGTAGCACAGACACGTTGCCTTTATCTGCCATGGTTAATATCAACTCTGAGACTGGAGATATAACCTGTTTACAGTCGTTCAACTACGAGGAGCTGAAAACGTTTCAGTTCAAAGTCCAGGCCACAGACTCTGGTGTTCCTCCTCTGAGCAGCAACGTCACTGTTAACGTTTTTATTTTAGATGAGAATGACAACAGACCCGTGATTCTGACGCCATATTCTGAACACGGCTCAGTTCACAGTGAGACCGTCCCTTACAGTGTTGAAGCAGGACACATAGTGGCTAAAATCAGGGCTGTAGACGCAGACTCTGGATACAACGCACTTCTTTCTTATCACCTCTCTGAGACCAAAGGAAACAACCTGTTTCGGATCGGAACCAGCACTGGAGAAATCAAGACTAAGAGGAGAATGAGTGACAATGACCTGAAAACTCACCCTATAATAGTGCTGGTTTCTGACAGTGGAGAACCTTCTCTGACAGCTACTGTGTCTATAGAGGTGGTGGTGGTTGAAAGTTCTGCTGACATCCAGACTCAGGTCAGACACGTGACCATACAGGACGAGAACTTCTCTGATCTAAACCTGTATCTGTTGATCGCCATCGTGTCAGTGTCGACTATCTTTCTGCTGAGCCTCATCGGTTTCATCGCTTTTAAATGCCACAGGACTGATAACACATTCAACGGCTATGGCGCCCCCATGATCACCACACACCCTGATGGCAGCTGGTCTTACTCTAAAGCTACACAACAGTATGACGTCTGTTTCAGCTCGGATACGTTAAAGAGTGACGTAGTGGTTTTCCCAGCTCCGTTTCCGCCCGCAGATGCGGAACTGATCAGCATCAACGGAGGAGACACGTTTCCTCGGGCTCAGACGTTACTCAGTACAGGAAAGGTTGGTCAAAAACAATAACTTCATTCATGTTCAATAACTCAAATGTCCCCGTGAAAACATATCTGTACTTTATTTTCAACAAGACTTGATAGTTTGAGGATTCTGTGTATATATGTGTACTTAGTAGTTACAGTATACTTGTGTTTATGGACTCTATATAACGACAACAGTGAAGTTGACAAACAAACAGTGGAGACTCTAACCACGTAAATCCAAGTGTGCATCGCTGTCCTTGGTGCTGAAATTCGTATCGCAACGCTGTAAAAGGCTCAAATTGCAACCCCTCTGTAGTGATTGATTTAAAACCATTGTTTCCAGTCCCATCAAACTTTTCAAACATTTTCTGATTTTTTTTCTACCATAAATATATGACTTGTAATACCTTTTAAATTAAATATTCATAATTACCATCACGATTAAGTCGTAGATTTGTTTTTAGGAGATTAAATATTTGTAACACTCGAAAGGTTGCTACAAAGTCATTTGGTGGGTGTTGGTTTCTGGTGATCTATGTCCTGTCGGTTTTTGGTTTAATGCTGTATGAGTAGGAATTGTTGGGGGCGTGCAGTTATTTCAAATGACCACACGGGGTCACTACAGACCATCACATTGTGATGTTCTTCTTTGTTACTCGAGGTTCCTCCCTGATTCAGTAAAGATGATGTTTCTCTGGGCGTTGTTACACAAAGACGCAGCACGAGAGTAAAAGGCATCGTTTCTATCGTTTCTCATGTGGTGAGGTTTCAAATTCGGGGATTTAACTTCTTTGGAGGATTTTTTCCGTGGATTTTGTAGACTGGAGCTCGATGCAATCTTCTCACATTGGATAAAATATGTCGAGCCGAAGGCGATGTGGACGCTTCGAGGTTTTTCTTGTCGCTATTCTCCTGGATTGTTACTGGAGAGCGGTGTCCGGACAGCTCTCTTACTCTGTATTAGAGGAGGTAAATGCGGGGACCACAGTAGGAAATCTTGCTAAAGATTTAAATATTATTGTTTATGATTTAGAGGCGCGTAGGTTTCAGATCGTTAGTGGCTCCAATACAAGGTATTTCGATGTAAATTTGAAAACAGGAGCTCTTTTTGTAAATGAGAGAATCGACCGAGAGGAGCTTTGTGCAAAGGCCTCCGTGTGCACCGTGAACGTCGAGGCCGTGATCAACAATCCCCTGAAGCTGTACCGTTTAGAGATAAACATAGTCGACATAAATGACAATGCGCCACATTTCTCAGAGAATTTGCAGACACTCAACATTGCTGAAAGTGCAGTGACGGGAGGAAGATTTGGATTCATCGGTGCGTCAGACAGAGATGTCGGTAAAAACGGTTTAAGTACATACAAGTTGAGTCCAACTCCTTATTTTACGTTAGAGAATCATAAAGAAGGAGACACCGTTTCTGCCAAGCTCGTGCTTCAGAAAGCCTTAGATCGAGAAACACAGCCTATAATAAAACTTACAGTCACAGCAGTTGATGGAGGAAATCCACCAAAGTCGGGAACTTCACAAATAATCATCAATGTTTTAGACAACAACGACAATGCCCCGGTTTTTAGCAGCTCGTTATACAAAGAACGAATTACAGAAAATTTACCAGTTGGTAAAACAGTTATCATTTTAAATGCTTCAGACGCTGATGACGGTTTAAATGGCGAG